GCAAAACCATTGACAATCAATATTTTTACTACCATGTAGTCTTTGTATTTGACGATAATGTATAAGGCTTTACTATGCCTAGTTCCCTCGAGTCCTAACTCATCTTCTATTAAATATAGGTAGTTAGTAACCTATACTATACCCACTAGATGCTCTATGGATTTAGAGGTGATATCCGACGAAATATATGCCTCATTTAGAACCTTCTAAAATGCTATGCGATGGGGTTTTGAGTTGGGTATTAATGCCAATAAGCGGATATGAACGGAGGTTTTGTTTAGTCGCTCGAGCACATTATACTCACTTACTATAGAATTTAGGAGAGTAGTCTCGACCTCTTTCCTATTCGTTTTTCTTAATTCTTTTAAAGTAAAGCATCTCCCTAAGTGTGTAACTCCTCCTATATCAACTATCCCATTAGAAGAGATCTTTATCATAACATTTGATCCACCGACTAAAGGAGAATGCCCATAATTATGAGAGGTGGCTCGATAATTGGCATTCATAGGAGCATAAATTTAAGGTCGAGTGTTCATCACGAGCTTTGTCTCCTTCTTTTCTATCTTTAAGGTCCCCAAAGTTAACATGGTTTGAATTTTTTGGTGAAAATCAAGATAATCATCAACATCATACTCGCCTCACTTTATGGAATTTATAAAATTATTCGATATGGGTTATAGCACGAGACTTAACAAGCCTTATTTAAAACCATTAGCCTTTAATATGTCGAATAGATTTGTCAAATAGATCGGACATAAATATTTTCAAAGTCGATCTTTTTTTTATCGTATTCCATATCCCTATCAATAGCATGTTTACCCTTCTTATAACATGATTTGGTAGAGGGCTAGAGTTGGTATTCGGGGTATTTGAGGAATCCTCGAATGCGATCAAGCATTGATTGATCAAACTTCATACCCTTTTCTTAAAGCTCATATAGTTTTCAATATTATGACTATTGGCACCATTGTAATAGTTACGGACTTCATTTGATTTATACTAATTGGGGAATGATGGTTGAAGTGGTGAGAGTGTCACGGGGGCTATCCGGTCAATGACAATGAGATGTTTGAAGAGATCATTGAGGGATATGGGAAGCGATGGTAATACGTCGTTAAATTACCCCCTAGTAGTGTTTTTCAAGAAGTTTTGATTCGATGGTCTTAATTGGTTTGTGAACTATTATGGGTTTTGGTAGTGTTTTTGAGGCTTACGTTGGGGTAGGACGGGTGTTTAAATAGTTTGGTGAGGTTTGTATGACATTTGGTATTATGAAACGATTGGTTTTTGGACTATTAGCCCAGCTACATTAAGTGGGAGAGTGCTTGCAGTGATTATGAACTAGGCATTCGGGTTGGCCATATTATTATGGAAAGTGTATTAGTTACCCTTCTCCCATGAGTTATTTCATCTCTCTTTAGGATTGACGAGAGGACTCCCTAATCTATTGGACTTTACAATCCCCCTCTTACCAAAATTACTTTTCTTATGCCCGAACTCCGAAGGGTCGGGTATCCTTCCTAACTTGATGTCTTATTCAATTCAATTGGCTACGGATACTATTTCAACAAAGTTATTCGAATCGTTGCTCGGCAAATAATCATAATACGAGCCTTGAAGGTGTTGATAAAAGGGTAACAAATTCTTTCTCCCGAAGGGGTGGATAAATGCGAGACGTTATTTCTCGTCATCTTTAAGCATACTCATTGATAGATTCCTTCAAGCCTTTTTCCATAAACTATAGGCTTAACCTATCGGGCATTATTTCAAGGTTAAATTTATATTATCTCATGAATATATCCACCAAATCTTTTCACTTTTGGATCTTGGTCCGATCTAGGTCAATGAACTAGATGAAGGCAAAACCGTCGAGACTCTCGAGAAAGAAGTGGATCAACGACTTTTCATCATATGCCACCTCGGTCATTATTTTCGGATAAATCCTTAAGTGAGCCACTAGAGCACCGGCTTTTGATGTACTTAATAACCTCGAGCACCTTAAACTTCTTAGGAATTATCACATTCGGTATTAGACATTTATCAATATTGAGAAGAGGATTGTATATGTTTACTTTTGATAGCTTTCAAATGCTCTTCAATAGCTATGAGCTTCTCTATTTCTAGTCCCAAGGCTATTTTCTCTTTGGCTAACTCTTCGGTGATAAAATCAAGAGCGCCTATCATTGATGTTTGGACGATCGACATAATACCATAATAGGACTCGAAGGATGAGAAACAAAATCATATATACCCCCAAGCATTTGATGGTTGGCATGAGTACCGATAGGCTCAACATGAGGCATACTAAAAGACGATGTTGAAAGAGAGTTTGAGTGATTGATGGTGATATGGTAGTAAACACTTCGGGAATGTTGATGGTTGATCAATTTCTCATCAAACAATGACTTCGGTGCCATGCAATTTTTCTAACTTTGTTCCAAGCAGAGTAGCAAGCCTAATAATCTCTTCATTTAATGCCTCTGCTTCCTTCTAGTGATTCCACTCGAGTAGAGCTCTTTCATCATTCTCCATCCTTTTTCTTGCTCTATTATGGTGAATGCGTAAGGAAAATATAGTTTTGGCGAGTCAACCTATGTTTGTGTTCAAGCAAAAGACAATGAATACAATATAAAAAATACATTAAACATAAAATGACATTCTCGAGACTAACTATGGAGTAGCCATCTATGGGAGGTGATAAAAGAACTCGAGTCATTGATTCTTCAATCCTCCTAAGTTTAAGGATGAATTCAAATTCATCAATAACTTTTAGGAATTTCAAAAAGGGAACTATTTTGACGAGATGATGGCGTTGATTGTTTAGTCCTTTTAAATGTAAAGTTGAATTTACATTCATTAGTAACTTTTAAGGATTCTATGAGAGGGGTTACCTTGATAGATGATGTCATTGATTGCTCAATCCTTTTAGGTTTAAAGATGTTTGCCTCCCGAGTTAAGAATATATGTGAGTATCTTCATTTTATACGGTGATTAAATATCTTTTCAAAAGTATAACCAACTCCTTGCCATAGAATATCTAGACCGAGTGCCTATTTTAGGTTCCTAGTTCCTTCAATATTAGGTGGTGACTCCAAACTTATAAATAATTTTGTAAATAACAATTAACACCTTTATATTTTAATTTTTGAGAGTCCATTCCGACATCGTGTAGCGACAGTTCAAAAACACAATTTGATCTTTCGTATGCATTTATTCTTAAATGAAAATCCATAATAATCTAAATATAAAATTGACATAAAATTAAAAAAATGCCTTATTTTTTTTTCATAATATTGCATCGAAGAAATAAATCAAAAATTAATATAAAAACTTACATAAAAATTAACAAATGAATCTTTTTTATTCTTGTTTAGTACCGATGAAATATTTTTTTTCAAAAAGATATGTACATATGATTTCTATATATTCGTTTACAAAATAATGAATAATATTAGTATAAAAAATTATATTTAAATTATTAAATAATTCTTTTAAAATAATATTTTAATTATTTTATTTGAAAGAATTTAATTTTAAAATATTAAAAAAATAATAGTAAATGATTGATGTTATGTGTGTAGATACATAGTTAATTTTTAATAAAATCAATGAATTTACTTACTGGATACGATCATTGATTTTATGTGTAGCATAAAATATATAAAAAAATATTAAAATTAATTTTAGCATTTTTTGTACATTGTGATCATACTCACTATGTTAGAATGCGTAGCATAAACCAAAAAATAAAGTTGTAAAAAATATATTTAAGTTAATAAAGTGCAATGAAAAAATACAAAATTAGTTTGGATAAAATTTGATTATTTAAAAAATTTATATAAACACATGAATTTTATTTTAAAATTTTGATTATATAAAGAATAAACAAACAAAAACAACTACCACATAATTTATTCGAAAGTTCATACATAGAGAAAATACATAATATTTATTAAAAAATAAAATTAAATAAAAAAGAATAAAAATAAATTTTTTGAAAATTTTTATAATAAATTAAAAATTAAAGAGATTAATTTTGAACAATAAGAGTATTATAATCGGATATATATATTTATTTTAAAATCTAAAAATATATCATATACATTCTATAATTGTCATTATGTATGAAAAAAATAACAATTAATTTTTTATAATTTTTAAATAAAATAATAATAACGAAAATAAAAAAAATAAACTCGGTGAAAAAAGGAAAAAAAAAAAGAGACAGTAGCGTGAACCTAGCTTCGTAGGCCCAAGGCGAGCTTGTGTGGCTAGCTGCACACTTAAGTGTGGAGTAGCTCAAGGGATTAAAAATTAAATTTAAAATTTTTAAGGATCGAAATAAAATATTATATAAAATTTTAATATTAATATCTAAAAATAGTTAGAAAATTACAAAAAATGACACTAACTACAGTACATCTGCAGTGTTTTATGAGGAGAATAACAGTAAAAATCACTGTTTATTTTTCTCTATTCTTTAAATTTTGTTTGTTAATTGTTAATAGATGTATGAAAAAAATATCATTTACGTAATTTATTTATTATAAAAAAAACCGGTATTAATAGTATTAATTAATTGCTCATAGAGAAAGGCTTCGCTAGACTGATAGCAATCGCACAAGTAAAAACCCAATAAATGGCCCAATGTTACGGGGCCCAATCTGATTAAATAACTGAACTTTATCTAAGAAGGCTTTCCCTTGGTTCAACCAGTCGAATAAATTAAAATCAAATCAGCTTTCTATTTTACGACACCGTTTTATGAAGCAAATAGGTCGAGAAAAAAACACACAAACCATGCCAGAATTTTTCGTTTTACTTGTCGTGGACTTTGGTAGAGATTGTTGACTTAATAGTATTAAAAAACAAACAAACAAACAACTGTTATTAATAGTATTAAAAATATATTTTTACATTTGCATAATTTATTTATTATCAAATCCATTCTTAAAAAAAGAAAAGAAAAATACAACTGTTATTATAATAGCATTAATTAATTATTGATTCTCGTAGAGACATTGCTGACTTAAGCCAAGATGAGACATAAGAACGGCCACGAAAGTAAGTAGCTCTCCTCCTTGCGTAAGTGCTTTTGTATGCTCTTTCCATCCACAATGACTCGCAGCATAAGTTAGCATCTCCACCAACACTTCACTTATCATTTCCCACTTCTCTTCAATTGACCCATCATCCAGCAGCGACTGTATTGAAATGGTGAGGTTTATGCCTCCTTGCGTAAGTGCTTGCTTGTACTTTGCTTCACCTAACTCTTTAGGTAGCATAAACGGCAAATCACTCCGTAGATACATCATGTAATCACATAAAGATCTGCTCATCTTACAATGAATTGAATCACTATGACCTAATTTTTCAGAATAATGATGAGTAACAAAGTGCCATGCTAGGAAGCTTTCGTGAAAGTCTCTTTCAATCACAGACCAACCTAATTTTTCAAAGCATCCCTTACGCTTAAGCACCTGATCACCTCTCTCTTCCAATATCATCTTTTGATCAACCATGTACCTTGAACGCTTATCTAAGAGGTAATTGAAGATCAATTCCTTTAAATCATCACCAACGACCTCCCAACTCTGAATGTTGCCGTTGCTAAAGAATTTTCGCTTGTGTCCTTTAGAAATCTCTTCAGAATGTGATAGCTCAAGTTGGGCCACAGATCCTTTCCACCTTTTATTGTTGCTAAAAGACGATAGCAACCGAGAAGAAGAAATAACTCGATAAATAGAATCCGCCAATTGCTTTCGTTGCTTGGTAAGCCAAAGCATAGCCCAATCAGAGAAAAGCATCAAAATGGCCGAGTAAACCTCCAGAACAATAGCTCCTACCATCAACAAGTATGATATAATAATATCAAACTTGGAATAGGCATGGAAGTTTCTAGTCATCAATGAGAACGCAAGTAATGCAGAAACAGAGGACAGAAAGTTGATAAAGCGGAGAATGAAGCGTGGTTGCCAATTAACCTCTGTCATCGCCTTGGTGAAAAGTACATCAAACATCAACCCCAACTCAACTTCTATCAATTTGAATGCTTCGGTGGCACTCTTGCTCTCCAAGATACGAGAGCTGATCATACGAGTAGGGAATGTAACAAGGTAATCAGCAAACAGTAACTTCAAAGTTCGGAATAAGAAATGAGCTTCATGGAGGTATTTGGCCTCTGATATTATGTTACTAAATCCCGAAACTTCCTCAATGGGTTCCGTGCTCATGAAAACGACGACTTCTCTTCTTAAATTTTGCTCCTCTATTCGGCTTTGTAGATGCATCCTTTCTTCGTTTGCGGAGTCCCTAAATTGTTAGAGCTTGCTAACCAGAGGACCCAAATCCTCTCTCCATATTTGATAATTCCAGAAACAAAGATGGGAATGATTAAATAGGTAAGCGGATCCTTGCTCCACCATGATCTCAACGATGCATAAAAGGCTACCAACAGTTGGGTTAATAGCTGAAGCAAGTGCCTCGCCCACAACTCATTGTCCTCTGCTGAATAGGCAGTAATAGTGTCAGGGCCACCAAGGTGTACAAGGAGCATGGGTGCCCAAAATGCCGGGATGAAACTTGGCTTTGAAGTTGTACAATTTGATTCAGAACCCCCTTGGCTCCGAGCAAGTAAACCCAATGAAACCGTTGCCAACCAATCTGCTGATAAATATGCTAACCAAACAAACATCCCAAGCAAGAATCCAGCTGTATACTTTCACCGACTGCCAGTGACGGTGAGGAAAATTTGCAGCAAGAGACTTAGCAACATCATTGCGCGAAGCTCCCATTGGTTCCACAATTCGATTACACGTCCAGAAAGATGATAAAGATTCATCGTTGTTCTCCTTCAATACAAGCCAGACATGAATTTTACTTAAAGAGGCATTAATTATTTATACTGAATATGAATTGGTACAGGTACTTTACTTCTTATTACAAGGTTACTTCTTATCATCAATATCAAAAAGGTTATTCTCAAGGAAGAATAAAGCACTTGCTCTCATTACAAGATAAAATTTTAAGATAATGAAAACAGTACATAAAAATAGAAGGACCAAAGGAATAAATTACTTTCGCTTGTCACAAGCTAAAACTGTGTCAAAAATTATGATTCTCATGAGCACAAATTACTTCCTCTTTTCTCAAGCAACAAATTCGTGTAAAATTTATAGCCTAAGGCAATTAGGTCACCAAAGTTGGGAAGAAATAAACAATCTTGTAAAACTTTATCTCTTTTTTTCCTCAACAAAAGAGAAAAGCTTCATAGAATATGGGTTGAGATAAGAGTACAAGAAAAAAGAAGTGCAGTGATGTATAGGAAAACTTGTCTATGTTGTTGGTCACTATATTTTCCATTTAGGACGTTCATCAAACACGTGATATAGTGGCATATAAAAACTAAATTCAAAGCACAATGCCAAGCTACATCACCGAAATCAATGGTATATCAAAACAATGGTGTAAAGGGTCCAATCTGATCGAAACACAGCTATGATTTCGTCAAAACCCTTATGGACAAATCAATCAAAACCAACACAAGTCCTCTAAATGGTCCAATCTGATCAAAAGACCGAACTTTATATAAATTAACATGCTTTCCCTTGAAAAGCTTTCAAGTCTTGAAGAGATGAGGACTAAAAATATTTAGTTATTGTTTATATATATGTATAGTTTCTTTTGGGTTTCAGGAAGGAGGCTCTATAAGGTCCAATGTGAATACAATAGTCATGCCTTTTGTGTTATGAAGTCTCTATCATACTTGGAAGTTGGATCTATTGACCTTAGTACCTACTGGCATATATCCTGTTTATTGTCGTGGGATAAACTATATAGTATTCTTATATATTCATTCATATAAAATTTAAAAATAATTATTTAAAAGGATCACGTGAAAAAATTCAAAAAAAAAAAAAATCAAGACATATATCTCATATTTGTTGCAGGATTAGCTAAATGAAAAGTCCGCAAAGTTGAGTAATATAATGTTGCTAATTAGATATTATTTGATATAAATATGTATTTTATTAGAAATATGTATAATAAATGATAATTAAAATAATGATGTGGTAGTTTTCTGAATTTTAGATGATTAATTTTTACCATATATTCTTCTTCTATAATTTATTAATGAGATGGAGAGATCACTCAAAACAAAAAGAAAAAAAAGCTTTGTCAAATCGAGAATTTAGCAAAAAAATAAAGATAAAATTACACACGATAAAAATTAAATGATCAAAATAAAGAAAAGATAATAAAAGCAGAATCAAAATAAATTAAACAATTTTAAAAAAAAAACTTATAAACAATAAGACTGTGAACAATTTTACTAAAAGCCAAAAAAATATTTATTATAAAGATAAAAATCAAATATAATAAAATTTTAATAATTATTATTAGAAAAAAATCAAATATAATAAAATTTAAATGATTAAAATAATAGAATTTATGAAACAGATGTTAAAATAAAAATAAAATTTACTAAAAGTTAAAAGAAGGGCTTAAAAAAATGCAGGAAGAGAAAAAAAAAAAACTAATTTATTATAGAGATAAAAATCAAACTACACCAAAGAGACTTACGTTGCAAGTATTTTAGTGAATCCAGCCACCATTATCCACCAGTAATTACCTCAATCTCAACTTGTTAAGAGCCACATCAAGAATGACTAGAAGTGCGAAAAAGCGTTCATAAAGATGCTCATAGAAGGTCACCTCATAGAAGATCGGTCACTGCTTGGGAGTTGTACAAGGAAGAGCTAGTGCAGTAGAAGAGGATGTGAAACACTTAGCGGAGGAAGCCTCTATGTAGACACTAACTGGATCAACATCCATGACATGGCAAGCTAAGTTGGCACTACCTTAGGAAGAGCTAGATAGGGAAGGGAGTTTGAGAAGAGGAAATAGAGTCCGTACATATTTAATAATGACATTCTGATAAATCTAACCTGAGAAATTAAAGTTACCTCCCTCACTAGAAGGGCGAAAAGGAACAAAAATTAACACATATCTTACATTATTTAGTGTCATGCGATTATCTATTATCAGCTTATACTTGTAACCCCAGAGGAGACGTGTCCAAGGTTTTGCTCTCGATTCGGATGCAATCCTCACTCGGTACCTGTACTGTTTCCTTCTTGTAAATAAATCTACTTGATGCCCACAAGAAGACCCCTAAATTAAGGGTAGATATAACCAAAAGGAACCCATAGTAATAATCCAAGTGAGAGTCATTCAAGTTGTTGCCAATCCAACTCTTGCTGCCTCCGGTTCCTGTAATCTTGTCAACCATTGTTACTAGAAAGCTATTGAAGAAGTTGCCAACACCGATCCCACTAGTGAAGAATGTGGTTCCTAGGCTTTGCATGTCTTCAGGGGATTGATCATAGAAAAATTCTAGCAATCCGATAGCATTGAAAACATCTGCGATTCCCAGTAGAACATACTGAGGCAATAGGCAAAATATGCTCATAGGGACGATTTCTTGAGGCCCAGTAACGTGGTGCATTCTTATGACATGCATTCTTCGAACTTCAACAGCATAAGCAATTGCAATGGCAGTAACTTGAATGACGAATCCGATGCCTAGCCTCTGAAGTAATGTGATTCCCCGTGGGTTTCCAGTTTTTTTACGCATGAATGGTACAAAGAAACGATCATACATTGGCACTGCGAGAAGCATTGAAAGTGTCACAAAGCTACCTAGCGAAGCTGCTGGAATTTGGAAGTTTGGGCCTAGGTAGCGGTCTAAGGTTGTCCCTTGCTTGACAAATAACGTGTTGATCTGTGCCCAAATTGTACTAGGGATTAAGGTCACCAGCCATATCAGCATCATTCCAAAAACGAGCTTGACTTCTTCTACTTGAGTCACTGTGCATGATGATGATGATGATGATTGGTTTGAGGAATCTGCAGTACTGTTACCATCTTTTATTGCAGCTTTGTCCAAGCACCTGAGTACACAATTTTTTTAGTTAATTACTTGATTTAATTCACACAAATATATGATTGTGGATGCAGGCAAAGTGTATATAGTAATAGTCCCCGCAAGTTCTATTCAAGTCAAAATTATTGTCCTGATACAATTTCTTGTGTCTGGATTGCGTGATGATTCTAAATCAGTGTTCTTGAATTTGCTTTAGAGATGGAATGAATATTTTCTAATGCGATGTACTAGAGGATTCCACCAATGTGTTTCACACATAATTTTGATTGGACGGTAATTAGTGGTGGGACATGGGGGCGCACCATTGCAATGTACGTGACAAAATTTCCTATATCAGAAACAACTTGACTAAGATGGTGACCATTCATTAAAGATGAAAAAAATGGAATACGGTGAACCATGCACATGGAAAGAATTTATTATAACGAATGGCTACCAAAACATGAGGGCGACCTGCTTTTGCCTTTGCCACAGTAGAATTCCTAGTTAGGCACATGAATTTGCGGGGTCCTCTCTCCACCGCTCTTGCATAGGCATTTAAGGGCTATAGGAATCTTTTTTACGGTCTACTGATTTTGATCGTGCCATGAGATTCCATGTATGAATGAAAAGGGTACACTCTATTTATTAAAACTAGCCTAACCTTTTTTTTTTTTTTTACCGCCTAATAAATATATGGAAGATTGATTAAATATACTAGTAGTATGACTTTGTTTGATTAATTTGTATTTGCTATATAATAATTAGAGAGCTCACCTCAATACTGGTGTGTGATGGACCTGCCGTTTTCCGCTATCAATGTAATATTGCGGTTCGAACTCATGAAGCTCTGAGGGATTGTTAGGGAGCTGAAGCTTCCTGTTTTTAAAGGCAGCAATGAGGACTTGAAATAGCTCTTTTGCAGGGCTCTTACTCTTTCTAACTTTATGCCTGTATACTGGTGTCCCTATGTAGAATATAAATAGGGATAATAAAAGACCAACTGTTGGGATACCATACCCCAAACCCCAACCTAAGTTCTCTTGAATGTACACAAGGCAAAGAGTGGCAAATAAAGCTCCCAAAAAGAGCTAAACATCCACCAGTTAAAGAATGAAACCTTGAGCTTCTTTTCATGTGGGTTAAAATCATCAAACTGGTCTGCACCAAAAGTTGATATGTTAGGCTTTGTCCCTCCAGCCCCCAATGCTATGATGTAGAGAGCAGAGTAAAAGAAAGCAATTTGCGAAGGGGAGGCCTTGTTGCATACTCCATTTATGCATGTTGGCTTCATGGACTTGAATGAAACTGCCATTGTTAGTAGTATCATTCCCTACATATATATAAACTTGCAAGTCAGTTCGTCGTTTGACAACATATAACTTGTTAATAATTATAATGAATATTTTTTCTCTTAAAAAAACTTAAACATGAGAAAGTTTAACGCGATCAACTGTACTAGATCAGAAGAAAGTTGTCCAAGTAGACATGCACAACTTGTCATGTAACACAAGTTGAAAGTTAATCCTACGAGGTCTCCTTTTATTTGCATTTGTTATATATTAAATATGCTGTTTTTAATGAAGAAAACAAAAGTTTGAGTCATTTCAATCAGTTTGGACATATTTTTCAATTATTAATCGTTCGCATAACTTGGGCATATATAATTAGAGAAAATTAATGAGAGATGATAGGTACTACTGCTTTTTTGTGGGGCTAATGTGAATCATACTCTTGTGGAGGACAAAAATGTAGCTTCATATTCATGATAGAAGACAATAAATCGAACTAACAATTCATTGACCCCACAAGCAAAAATAACAAACACAATTGGCCTTTGAAAGTAGGTGATGCAAAATATGGTCCTAACAAGTGCTCAACTTTGGAAATTATAGCTTATGAACATAAAGCGAATCTCATGAGATATTCATCTTGAAAATTATTCCAAACTAATGACTTGTAGATTAATTAATTAATTAGACTTTGTAGTAGAAGACAATGATTAAAGGTTGGTTAGTGGAGACAATAACAAATTAATTTACCATGGCATAGATAAGAGATGACACAGTGAAAGTCCAATATCGACCCATGTAAGTATCTGCTATGTAGGCACCCAGTATTGGTGTAATCCACACTGCTCCTGACCAATTATTCACATTCCTCACCGATGCAACTGTTTCTTCATGGAGTTGGGTTGTCAAGTAATTCACTAAGTTTGAAGCTATTCCATAGAAAGCCATCCTTTCAAATGCTTCATAGCCTGGTGATCAGTCAAATAATTAATATCAAACCAAACTATGTTAAATTTTCAAGCAACTTCCAAAAAAATACAGTTATATATACAGAATTTCGATGGTATATATAGCAATAGTAGAAGCAAAAGGTAAGATTAATTTACTAAAGGAATAAAAGTTTGGTTAGTGAATATATCCTATGCTATTACCTAGATAATATATATATTTCCATGGGATCTCTCTCATATAGATATATATATATATATGATAGGATTCAATTCTCGCATGAAAAGCAGCCATTAATTTTGCTAGACCTGTTAGCTACAAAGAAGTTAAAGTAGACAAACCACTTTGAACATTACCTGGAAAGAGAAGGTAGTGTTTCAATGAAGATACGTTAGTCTTGTAATTAATGATCCATATAAACAGAAAGGTTGCAGGCAAGAAAGAGAAACTTACCAACTAGAAAAGCACAAGCTTTCCATTTTCCAGTTTTAGAGGACAGGACATGACGCCCTCGAAGATCTACAGTGCCATCTTGGGTGTAACATTTGGCATCCATCAAAGATACTTAAGGGGAGGTTGATAGAAGGGAGCAAAAGATATTGAAAGAGCAATAGTGTTGCTCAGGTTTAGTAGAGTTTGTAACCCTTTATATAGGCCAATTTGGCGAAATACTCTCTTTCTTTCCTCTAAAAAATAAAGCGCACATAATATCCTTACAACATTATTATTATTATTAATTTGAGCAATGCTAACCCAAAAAATGTCCCCAACCTACTTCAATAATAAATAAATATGGACCACTTTGTAAAAAAGAAAAAAAAAAGCCCATGAACACTTGGCCAAGAAATTGGTTGTCCTTATATTGTCTTTGTACTCTTGAAATTATTTTGATTATTTTAATTAAAATTTTATACTATTTGTCGTGTTCGTTGATTTTTTCTACTCTTTATTTTATTTCACGTTGCTCCATCCATTATAACATAATTAGTTTGTGAATTGACGTGAGATGTCTAGTCTTGAATATATGACATTTGTTACATGAGATTCCAATAGAGAGACTCAATCAAAATAATTCAAAAAGTATGTAGAATCAATCAACACAATTGAAAGAGTATAGGAATTAATTAATTTTTTTTAATTTTCTTGTTATTTGTTTTTAAAATGTCACATGTGAGACCCAATCACACTAAAACTACAAAGTGCTTAAAAAATTATTATAATAAATTATTATAATAAAGTAATACTTAATATAAAAAGATGGTAATGTGCAATATTAATTAGCTATAGATTTTTAGTTAATGGGTCTAATCTTCCATAACAAGTAAAAAGTTCTAAACATTTGATAAATTCAAAGTAAAAAACACTAAAATAAAATAGAGGAATTGTGACCATTTATTAGTGATAGTTTTCTAAATACCAAAAATTAGTTATAGTCTATGTAAACCAAAGCTAATTTTGTTACAAGTGTCGGTTTTTAATGACAGACTTTTAAAATTATTGCTAATAACTCATAAATTCGAGAATTTTTTTTGTCAATTCAATCTAGATTAGGGGTTTTTAGTGACGATTTTTGTGAAATCATCCCTAAAAAACCCCTTTTCGGCATATTTAGCGACAGTTTAACTAGGACCTTGCTAAATTCCCCCAAAATTTAGGGTTGTTAGTGATAGTTTTTGTAAAACCCTTACTAAAAACCCTTTTTGGGACAATTTAGTGACGACCTACTAAAATCATTATTAAATTGCAACCATCTTTTAGAGTTTTAGTAATGATTTTATTGAAACTCTCACTAAAAAACCATTTTGGGCGAATTTAGCAACAATCTAAATCAATCATCGCTAAATTCCCCCAACAAATACTTTTGGAGATTTTAGTGATGGTATTGGACGATTGTTGCTGATTCCCCCAAATTTGGGGGTTTTTTTAGCGATCGCTTTAGCGAGACTATCATAAGAGAACATTTTTGGGCGAATTTAGCGATGGTTTAAAAACACCTTTACTAAATTCCCCCAAATTTCAATGGATACATTTTGGAATTTCAATGGATACATTTTGGAATTTTAGCGAAGGTCTTTTAGGGATATTTGGCAACGGTTTGGCAACAACCGTCACCAAAATTCCTTAAAATGGCATTTTTTTGCGGTAGTTTTTGAAAAACTATCGTTAATAACCTAGTTTTTGGATGATTTTAGTGATGATTTGATCGGACCATTGCTGAAAATTTTACCAAGAGGAAAACATAATTTTTGTTTTTTTGAAATGAGAGATTTTTCATTTAGCAATGATTTAGCGATGGAACCAAAATCATTGCTAAACGCAAAATTCCTAAATCGGATTCGTCACTCTTTTCCCATTTTTTTTTTATCTTCTCTTTTGTCTTTTTCTTCTATGCCAATGCCATCGCCCCCCAAAATCCTCCATTGACGTCGTGAAACCATTCGAACTCCCATTCTCTCTTCTTTTCTTCTTTTTCTTTTTCCCATCCATCCATTTTCTTTTCCTCATCCATTTTCTTCTTCTTTCTCTCCTTTTCTTCTCCTCATCCCTTCCCTTCTCTTCTCTTCATAGGTCTACTAGCATTGGCACCACCTTCTCCCTTCTCTCCTCCTCTATTTGAAGGCATTTTAACTCACCTAAGGTTAGTTCTTGGTTTTTTCAAATATATATATATTATTTAATTATTTTTTTTGTTAATTGTTAGTTAGTTTTTTTTTTGTTAGGATAAATTTATTAGTTGTTAAATAATTATATTAAGTGTTAAGGTAATTTAATTAGGAGTTAAAATAATTAATTAGGTGTTAATTATGTTAATTTGGTGTTAATTATGCTATTTAGGTGTTAAAATAAGTTATTTGGTGTTAATAAAATTAATTAATTGTTAAAAAAATTTTATTAGTTAAATAGGTGTTAATTAAATTAATTAACTATTAGGTGTTAAGTTTATTTGTTTTGGTGTAGAAAAGTTTTATTAGGTTTTAAATAAGTTAATTAGGTGTTAGTTTAATTAATTTGGTGTTAATTATGTTATTTAAGAGTCAAAATAAGTTAATTAGGTTTTAATTAAATTAATTAATTATTAAAAAATTAATTAGGTGTAAAAATATTTATTACATGTTAAATAAGTTAGTTAGGTGTTAAAATATTTAATTAGATGCTAGTTTAATTAATTTGGTGTTAATTATGTTATTTTGATGTTAAAATAAGTTAATTAGGTGTAAAAAAATTTATTAGGTGTTAAATAAATTAATTAGTTGTTAAAATATTTGATTAAGTGTTAGTTTAATTAATTTGGTGTTAATTGTGTTATATTGGTGTTAAAAATATTTAATTATGTGGTAAAACAATTCATAATTCATACTTGTATGAAATCATTTGTTATGTTATTTTCCATCGAGTTTCTTATTGAAGTATTTATCTAGTTATACGTAAAATGTAAAAAAAAAATGTTTGGTAATCGATATTATGGTGACGGACTAAGGATGTGATGTCGCTAGAAAAATAATTGAGCGATTATAAGGTCGGTCTCAATGCTCGCGATGGAGATAGGAGGATGAGAATAATTAATTTGGTATTAATTATGCTATCTATTAATTGGGAAACATGTAGTTTATATGGGAAACCCTGTCGAAATTTTGTTAGAATTTTAATTAGTCGTAGAAAACATTTGTATGATATCCAATGCATAATTTTTAAATAATAATAACCAGTTATTCTGTTTTTTGCCTAAATATACAACATAACTAATTATGAATTTGGATTGTTTTTGGATCTACTACGGATATACCAATGGTCTTTTAAATCGAGTATTTCATTGATGGGGTAAATGAATTTGTTGGTTTTGTTGTTAGTCATCTTGAATGTACGGATGGAAATAAGAGAAGATGCAATTGTAAACTCAAAAAGTGTTAGAACTATATTTATGAAGATCCTAATAATATTAAGTACTATTTGATGAAAATGGTTTTTTTGTTAGTGTAGGTGTCCTAGATCCACCTTGTTTGAATGGTTTGATGTATTACATTATTGCATTTTAATATTAATAAGAAAGTCTTTCTATTAATTATTTTTATTTATAATTTGATAGAATCAGATAAAAGTCAATATATTATGCATTACATTAATTATTGATAAATATTTGTAAGACAAATATCAATACATTTAAATGATATCATTAATTATCCTAAGTTGTAGCATTGTCAAGAATAGACATTGATAACAAGCGATAATACTTATAAGTACTATACTTCTACTATAAGATAGAAATAAGAGATCTCACACCTATTGGCATAGTATGTCAAAATATGTACTTAGGTGAATAATATTAAAGAATATATCACTAGATATGACTTTCCATGAGAACTAGTTTGGTATTATCTATGTGAATCTCTTATAAGATGGGTATAACTAGTTATTTATCTTAAAGTCATTAGGGTTATGTCATTAGAAGATTAATGTAATTTGACACTTGTTTCGATAAGCTTAGTAAACGACTACATGTGGGTGATTCGTTAGGAGCATTAGGAGTCTAATAGAGATAGGAGGATGACTAAGATAGGACATGTCATTCCGTATATACTAAAAAAGTTATCACATTACACTTCGATGAATGCCTACACAAGGAATGTATGACCAAAGTAGAAGTATATCATGCTATAAGATAGCGAGTAGGAGATCTCACACTCGGTGATGCCAAATTAAGCACTTAGGTGATTTATGTTAGAGAACATATCACCTGGACTTGACTCACTATAAGAACCTATTTAGTTTAGTCTATGGGAATCTCATACGAGATGGGTACAACTAATTCTTTGACTTGAAATCATCACAATTACCTAATCGGAGGATTTATGTACTTTGATACTCATTTTAATGGACCTAGTAAAGGGTTACATGTGGGTGATTCATTGGGTATACTAGGAATCTAATGAAGATAGGTGGATGACTAAGATAGGACATGTCATTCCTTGTATGCTAAAGGAGGTATCACATTACACTTTGATAAATGTCTCGCTTGAAATCTATAACCACGGTAGGAGTACACCAATAGAGTATAGTTGGTTTACTATAAGAAATAAGATAATTGAGAATTAAAGATAGCTTATGTGATCATAATCAAACAAAATGATAACGAAATTCGAGATGAAAGTATGAGAAATTGACATAAGGATTGAATTATATGATAGCCATGCTTATGAAAGGTAATTACGGATTAATTAATCCTTCTAGAGAATTGGGTAGTCATGACATTATGTTAGAGGCCAATCTAGATCTACGTATCAAGAGATAAAAGAGGTTCTTTTATTCTTGATACATTTTCAATATATCTACGAGTCTATTAAGTCACACACATAAGTTTAAGTATTCATGTAAAAGAAAGAGAAACAAAGATATTAGAAAAAAAATTAGTTTTAAAAGTTTCCTAAAATGAAAATTTTTCTATTTTAGAAATCAATTTTCTAATTTGGAAGTTAGTTCCAAAATTGAAAGTTAGTTATCTAAAAAAGAAATTAATTTTCTAATTTAGGTTTAAGGTTAATTTGAGAAATTACTTCCTAT